TGTGTGTGTGTGTGTGTGTGTGTGTGTGTGTGTGTGTGTGTGTGTGTTGCATGCATGTGTATGTGTGGAAGCCAAAGGTTGATGTCAGGAGTCTTCATCTGCTCTCCACCTTTCTTTTTTGAGACAGGGCCTCTCACTGAATGTGGAGCTGACCAGTTCAGCTATAGTGACCAGTCACTGAGCCCCAGGCATCCTCCTGTCTCCACCAAGCACATGTGGTACTGGCCTTTTGCATGGCTTCTGGGGATCCAAACTCAGGTCGTCATGCTTGTGCAATGCCATCTTACCCGCTGAGCTATCTCCCCAGCACCCTCGTGCTATTTTTAATCAATGGCTTTCCCTAGTGCCAGGGTGGGGGGACACAGTAGATGCCACCACAGCCATCTGTTGGTGCTATGCCCCAGCTTTCCTCCAGAAGGCTTGCCTTTTCCCCAGGCCCTGCTTGCCTGAGAGTATGTGTGTGACTGAGCAGGGCCAGTCAGGATCCTTCAGAAGGTTGTGTTAGGGTTATCTTCCTCTTAGACACTGGAAACCCACTGGGTAGGTGTGGAGCTACTGTCGGTGGCCTCTCAGCATGGAGAAGGTACGAAGCAAATGTGCAAAAAGATGTTGAATCAAGAGGCCTGGGTGTAGCTGAGAACCCTGCTGGGTCCAGCCAACTTGCACCAAGACCCCTTCAAGTTACCTCAAATAAAGGTACAAGGAATTCCCTGTTCAAAGGTTTTGGTTGGGGGTGGGGAGAGAGGAAAAGCGCCCCCCCCGACCCTAGTGCTCTCTGTTCTCTGTGTCTGAAGGGTAAATGTGCAAAGGCCTCCAGACAGCTTCTCCCCAAAGCACTTCTAGAGTTAAAGCTTTGGTTTGAGACTCAAACTTAGAAGCTCATGTAAAGATCACTGAGATGGGCCAGGAAGGTATGAAGCCCTGAGTTCAGCTCCGAGCACTTCATATAATAGGTACAGTGGCACACACCAGCAGCCCCAAAGTTTTAGAAGCAGAAGCAGAATGATCAGGAGTTCATGGTCATCCTTAGCCTTACATAGAATGCAAGGCCAGGACACAAAATCATTTCAAAAAACAAAAACAAAAAATGGGTCTCACATGTGGCTCAGTGGGAGTGATTGCCTAGCATGACCAACGCCTGGGTTTGAACCTCAGTGCTGCAAGAGCAGCAAATAATTAAAATAATTAACATTAATAATCATAATCAAAATAATAAAGACCATTGAGACATATCGCCACTTGCTCTTGGTGATTTGGAGACAGCTGGTTTTCAGTGTCTCTGGAGGAAACCCACACACACACACACACACACACACACACACACTCTGCTGAAGTCTTGTGTTCCATTGCTATTCCTGGAGAGTAGAACAGAAGAGAATTTCCATCAGTTGAAGAGTCTCCCTTCAAGGGACCCTTTCCTACTGCTCTGGATTTGGGGCTGGTGCCAGCAAAGGCCATGCTTGCTCACCTGGCTTCACGGCCCGATGTCAGCCCTCAGCTGGGGACTTGTAGAAAAGATCTCTACTCTAAATGAGGCTGACAGAGAAGAACAATGAGGACCTTCTGGGCCAGGCTGGAGCTGAGGCGGGGACAGAGCTTCAGTCAGGCCGAAACCCAGGGCAGTGGTGTAGGTGGGCACACTGGTTGGAAGGAGTGGAAACCAGGGTGGGCTAAGGAAAACCAGAAATCCTGATCTCTGTGTGCTGTGCCACTCTCTAAGGCAAAACACAAAACACCCAAGAAAGGCGGCAACTGGAGGAAAATCACCAAGCAGTGACCTCGCACCTTCTTCGGATCCTGGAAATGAAAAGAGGTAAGTCCTTGATCTCCAAGAAGACCCACTACTTTCCCATGGAGTGTCTGGGAAAGTCCTGTCAATCTTGGAGAACCCTGAGCTAGAGAAACTACAGGACAGAGACAACTGCCTCCACCTCCAGGGGACCCCAGAACCATGTTGAGATGCTGGACCCGACCACTCCTAAGCTAAGTTCTTCTGGACTGACTTGGAGTGTCTTGCCACTCAGAGAGAAGGGATTTTAGTTCTAAATATATGTATCTCATAAGGGTGCAGTGTGCTTTAGAAAGTAAAGACACCTCTGGAGGGAAACAAGAAGAGCTGGAGTCACCCCATCACTGTGTGGAACCAGGCAGAAGCCCTGGGCATCCCTGTGTTCCTCAACTCAGGGGCGGAAAGCGGAAGTGCAGTTCATGGTAGGTTGTTTCCTGAGGGAAGAAGAGCCCTGACTCTCCATCACAGCTCCTTGGACAGTGCTCAGTCACAAATGCTAAAATGCTCATCTACCCTGATACTCATTGACCACACACCCCAGTCATCCTTCAGCCTACCTTGCCCCTTCCAGATCACGTGATTGGCCCCAGAAACGGTCCAGTAATCCAGACTGGCCAACCAGTACACTGCATTCTATCCCCAAATCACAGTGATTGGTCCAGATTATTACGACCCTACTGGCAGTCAAGTGTCCTCTATTCTCCCTGCAACTGTGATTGGTTCAGAATAGACCCCAAGCCCCAGCAGGCTAAGGAGAGTTTCTAAAAAGTGGCCTGGAACTTCGGGAAGAGACATGCCCTTGGACCCTCTCCTGGGAGACAGGGGAGGGCACCGAACAATGATGATCCTGTGGTAGAAGAGGCTTCCCTGTGGAGGAAGCCAACCTAAGCAAAGCACAGCAAGTGGTGAGAGGGCGCCAGCCCTGGTCCCGTCCTAGACTCCAGATCCAGGAGACAGGAGGCGGAGCATCCGTGAGGTCTTGGCTTTAAAAAGAAAGTCAAAAGTAGAGGGCGTCTGTCCATGACGTGAGGCTCCCTCTGCACACAGGTAGAGAGGCGGATGCCTGCTGTGGGGTCCCCACACCCCAGCTGTGGCATCGTCGGCATCCATCATGGTGCCAGGTGTCTGGACCGGCTTCTTCCTCGTCCTCACACTGCCTGAGGCCAGAAGCACTTGGGCTGCCAGCAGGTCCCCAGCCGGCTATCTGGACACCATGGAGCCACTATGGGACTGGCCAGAGGAGGAAGAGGTGGTGGCGCTGAGCTGAGAGAAGCGGCTGGCACAGGATTCCAGGCTGGACATGGAGCCCCTGGGGAGGAAGCGTGCGTATGCCCTAAGTTATCGCCCTGGCAAAAGCTGTTAATATTGAAAATGAGGCCCCAGGGCACACTCCTCAAGGCTGCCAACCTCCACCAGGGGCTAACCGACGCAGAGGGAAAAGCCAGTGACACCATTCGAGCGAAGATGAGCTGCACCTGGTTAGTTCCCAAGGCCCAGCCCAGCTGTGAGGAGCTGGCTCACCGGCATGGAGCAGAAAACACACAGCCTGGGAGTGTCTCAGCTCCAGGCTCTTTTTCTCTGGTCAAAACTAAGTACGGTGGCAGCCTTCAAGCCCAGCACTCAAGAGATGGAAGAAGAAGAAGAGGTGGGAGCAGGGGGATTGTGAGTTCCAGGCCAGCCTGGGCTACTGGGATGCAGCTTCTGTCTGATTAACACTACTCCAGATGTCAGATCAGAGCTGGCCTGGAAGAACTTTCCAGTTTCCTTTGGTTTTCCTGAGATAGCTTCTTATTATGTAGCCCAGGCTGGCCTTAAAGTTGGGATCCTTTTGAGTGCTAGGGTTACAGGCCTGTGCCACCACATGAAGCTACATTCCTTCCTTACATGTAAAATGAAAGGAGTTGGGCCTAATTCCATTGGTAAAGTGCTCCCTGGCATGCATGAAACCCCAGGTTTGATCCCACTACCACAGAAAGCCAGGTGTGTGTGGTAGTGCACACATGTGACCCCAGCACTAGGGAGGTGCAGGCAAGAGTTCAAGATCTTCCTCAGCCACATAGTGAGTTTGAGGCCAACCTATGTTTCATGAGACCCTGACTCAAAATTAATGACTAATTAAAATGAAACGGGGGGAGGAGAAATTGAAGACCTTTGCCTTCACCACTCCAGGCTGCACCACCACATACAGGTGCCTACTGTGTGCCCAGTGAATGTCCCAGGAGATCTCAGGGAGGTGAAGCACCGTCTCCTCAGAGACAAGGTGAGTGGGAAGCTGGAAGAAGGGTCTTATAGTAGCAACCTATAGACAGTTATCTGTGAGGCACTGTTCTAGGATATTTCAGAGTAGGTGCAAACTCTGAGCAATTTTAGGACTGAAAGGGGGTCCAAGTGATAAGGGTCCCTTCTGCTCTCTCCTGGCCCAGTGCACTGAGAGCCTTGAAGAAGAGAGGGGAGACTGCAGCTACAAAGGGTGAAAGTTCAACATTTAAGGCTGAGCCTCTCTGTCCCTCCCTCTCTCCCTCACTCTCTCTCACTCTCTTTCCCTCTCTCTCCATCTGTCTCTCATTTTGTATGTTTGCTTCAAAATAGGGTTTCTTTGTGTAGCCCTGGCTGTTCTGGAAGTCTGTAGACCAGGCTGGCCTAGAACTCACAGAGATCCACCTGCCTCTGCCTTCCAAGTGCTGGGATTAAAGGCATACGCCACTGCCATCACCACCACCCAGCTTCTTTCTCAGGCAAAGAGACTCCTCTTTTTTCCTACAGAGGGCTATTGATGTCTAGCCCGGAAGAAGCTGAGCACAGGCCACTTTATAAACAATCAACCATCACAGTGCTGGGGGGAGGCCTCCCCTACCTAAAGTCTTCAGATGCCAGCACTTCACAGTAGTACAGCAACTTGCACTTGGGGCCTGGGCTGTGCAGAGCTGTCAGGACATCATCAACGCCTGGGAGACTGCAGGCCACACTCTCAGGGGGACTGTGAATCTGCCACTGGAGCAGGTAGATGCCAGGCCACTGAGTTACATGGGAACCCTGAAACACAGAACCCATAGTAAGACCAGGTCCTCCTGGGGAAGGATAGAGAGATGGGGTCCCCTGGAAACAAGACAGGGCGTTGAGCCGAGCCCCCCTGTAACCAGTCTCTTTCTATTTGGTCCTTCCCAACATCCCAGGAAATCCTCTACAAGTGCCTTCTAAAGTCTCTCTGTGGTGACTGCTGCGTCCCAGGGACCTGAGCTTCCTGCTTATTGTGATGGAGTGACACCAGGACCTGGGGGTGCAGGAGGGACGGGGGTCAGGGGCAGCTCTGAGGAAACACTGTAGAGGTATTCAGAGCTGGCTGTGACCTGAAAGAATCACTTGTTCTACAGAACCATCAGTGAGGCCCGTGAGGCTCATGGAGCCAGAGGACTCTCACTGTGTGTGCGTCTGTGTGAGCATGCTTTTTTGGTGGGTGGGTGTCTGTGTGTGCGTGTATATGCAGGTGTGCATTTATGTGTATATGTGTGTAAATGCATGTATGGACATGTGTATGTCTGGGAGTGTGTGTGTGTGTCTGAGTGAGTGTTTATGTGTATTTTGGTGTGTGTGTACATATATGTGCTTGTGTGCATTTATGTGTATATGTGTGAATGTGTTCGCACATGGGCATATGTACATATGTATGTCTCAGAGTGAGTGTTTGTGTGCATGTGTGTGCTTGTGTGTGTGTGCTTGCACGTGCAGGGATATAACAGTCCACCTGTAACACGTGAGAAAGGCAGCTCACACCCCAGTCATGGGTGCAGGAGACCTGGATTCCCAGCCCTACATTCAGAACTAAATAGTTGGGGTGTTCAGGAGAGTCTAAGGCCAGGGTCTTGGGGTGCTGGATCTGGCTGCTGGCCTCAGGGGGCCTCCTGATCCACTACTCATCCCAGCCCTGTGTGATCCCCTGCTTCTCCAGCTTCGTTCTGCCATCCCTTCCACCTGGAACATCAGCTCCCCTACCCTGCCCAGCCCAGCCACCCTCAAGGCCCTCGTCCGTGAGGAACTCAAATGTGGAAGTGGGACTGTGGGTCCCAAAACCCCACCCTCCATCTACCATGAGATGAAGACCTGGGCTGAACAGTGTCCCCCAAATCCATATCCACCCAGAACTGCAGAAGATGACCTTATTTGGACATTTCTCCCTGTTTTTCAGCAAAGGATTTAGGGTCAATCCTAAACACAACTACTGCTGTCCTTATAGGAGAGAGGGGAGGGGCTTTAAGGCACAAAACAGAGCCATATAAGCCATATAAGGCCAAGGTGAGGACCTTTCCACCAGAAAGGCAAGAAAGACTCCTCCCTGGAGCCTTTAGGAAGCTCTGCTGGTTCCTTGACTTTGGACCTGTTTGATTTAAATGGCACCATCTGTTCCCTCCCCCATGCACATGTATGTGCATTTGCATGTGTGTGTCATGAGGAAAACATGGCTCCCTGCCCCCATGAGTTCTGAGGATCAAACCCAGGTCCTTGTGTTTGCAAAGCAAGCACTCTACTGACTGAGCTATCACCCCAGCCTCGCTTAGGTTATTTAGACCCTTTAATGATTTCTTTTCCTCAAGGAGAAACTGAAGCTCAAAGCCCTCCCCCAGCCCTCCAACTGCCTCTTAGCTGGGTGCCTCACGCTCCCTCCATACAGTCTTCTCGAGCTGGGGAGACAGGGGAGCTCCTTTATGGTTGTTCTGCAGAGCCTGGGAGCACATCCTTGTCCGAAGCTGTCTGCAGAGGCCTGGTCTGTGAGGGAGGCTTGATACCCCATGCAAAATTAGTAACAAAAGCCCACACCTACACACCTGAATGCTCTGCCCTTCTCGGCAGATGAGGGGCGCCTCAACACGGCTGTAATGTACCCCCAGGACCCAGCCCTTATCAATCAACTGCCCACTGGCTCTAACACCAGGCTCCTGAGGACTGAGCTTGGGTGCCTGTTTCGCATGATACAGACTGAACACCACATCCCCTCGGAGGATGTCAAAGTCCCAGGTGATGACGGACTCCCCTTCTGGAATCTCCATGGCAACCTGCATAACAGAAGCAGAGGTGGGAGAGCCCCAGGGTCAGCACGTTCCTCCCTGGTCATTTATCAGTCTCCCTGTCATCAGGAGAAGCTACTAAGACTCCCCAACTATCCCCTCTCCCAGACCCGTCCTCTCTCTGCAAGGCCTGGTCACCTGCAGTGGACTGCAGGTGCCTGGGGCATGAGGGCACCTGGGGATTCTGCAACCATCAAATGCCCTGGAGCTTCTTGGATAGAGTTGAAAGTGAGTGACTAGAACCACCCTACACCCAAGCTGAAGGAACATGATACCACCCCACCCGTGCCCTCCCAGGTCAGGTGGCACCTCATGGGGGCTCCCTCGGAGCACGCTGGCTGGATGGTAGGTCTCACTCCACTGCCGTAGCTGGTCAGCCTGCTCCTGCTCCTCCTCGGTCAGGTACAGGGACTTGGGGACCAGTCCTCCTTCTGGAACATTACACTGAGGGAGGTTTCAAAGACTAAAAAGGTTGGCACGTCAGAGTGGCTGAGGCCCAGCTGGCCTCACATTGGGTGTCCTGTGAGCCCTAGTTTAGCATACTGACCCCTGTGTTGGGCAGTCACCCTCCGAAGCCCTCAGAACCAATAGCAGGGTAAGATACGCTTCTCGTACAATGAAAGTGGGATGGAGGCTTAGCCAGGCCAGGCTACATTCCCAAGATCACACACGAGAACGTGCAATCAGGGCACACAACCGTGGGTCAGGTGTCATGGTACGTGCCTATAATCCTGGCATTCAGGAGGTTTGGGAAGGGGGATCCTGAGTCCTCGGCCAGCCTGGACTAAACAAACAAAAACAAACGAACAGGGCCTGGTGAGATGGCTCAGTGGGTAAGGGTACTTGCCATCAAATCTGAAGATCTGAGTTCCATCCTCAGTGCCCACATGCTGAAGTGTGTTGGAGGGTATGCTCGCATGTGTATGTGTGCACGTGTGTACATGTGGGGTGTGTGTGTGTGTGTGTGTTTGTGTATGTATGTGTGTGTGTGTGTTTGTGTATGTATGTGTGTGTGTGTGTAGATCCCTGCACTCATAGCCCTTCTCATACTGTTTGGCTAGTTGTGGTTCCCTCTTCTGTGATACAATCAAAGTTGGGGCAGCATCTTTCCTTCCGTAGAAGATGCTGACCAGTGGAGGGCGTATCTAGTTCTACAGATGTCTCCAAGTGAAAGTTGCCCTGGTGGCCAAGTCTCAGGCCCCAAGCATCCACACACAACAGTTTTCCTTGTTTCGCTTTGAAAACAGAAGGGGGAGGGGAATAGCAGAGCCAGGTCCTTGCCCATTGTCCTTCAGGAAGTCCTAGAGAGAGCTGCTGCCCACAGGAGCAGAGTCCAGTCAAGCTGGGCAGAGTTCCTAAGGAAACCACTTTACCAACAAGCGGCTCAAGCCTGCTGCCTGGTGCCTGTCCTGCCGGGGGGAGGGGTGTACAGCGTAAGTACTCTTTTCTGGAAAATATCAACATTTACTTTTATGTGTATGGGTGTTTCTCCTGCATTTATGGTCATGTGCCAAATGCATGCAGTATTTATGGAAGCCAGAAGAGTGCACTGGATCCCCTGGGACTAGTCACAGCTGGTTGTGAGCCACCATGTAAGGGCTGGGAATCAAACCCAGGTCCTCTGGGAAAGTGCCCTTAGCTGCTGAACCAGCTCTTCAAGGTACTCTTAAATGCTCTGTCACCTCCAGCCCTCACTGTCTTTAAAAGAACCAAAGACTCCACCTCCAGATATTTCACCTCTCTGGGTAAACTTCTACAACTAGCCCAGCCCCCACTTAGAGCTAGTGGCTCCTCATGATGAGAATAAGCAGCCCTTTTCAGCAGCTTCCTGACCCTAGGGATCTGGACTCTCAGGCTCCTGCCCCACCCCCTTCCAGAATGCAGGACCAGCAGCAAGCCTTACCACACTCTCTCCTCCCAGGAAGTCAGGGATCACATCCTTGTCCAGGTAGTCCACCAGGCCACCAGGGCCCTGATAATTGCTGCCACTGTAGATGAGGAACTTCCGCCTGGTGTTCTCATTGATGAAGGGGCTGACCTGGAGGCAGGGGCAAGGCAGAGTCTGTATTTCCTCAATGGGATTTGTAGAGAGAGAATCGGTCACTTTGTTGGTTAGCCTTGCTTCATTTTATTTCTGGTTTGGTTGGTTTGTTTGTTTATGTATTTATTCATTGGCTTTGGCCTTTTTCTTTTTTTTTTTTTTTTTTTGAGAAGGTTTTCACTCTGTGGCTCAGGCCAGCATCAAACTCAGGCTCTTCCTCAGCCTCTTTCTTGAGTGCTGGGACTATAGGCACGCACCACCAGACCTAGCTCAGAACTGATTTTTTGTTTTGTTTTGTTTTGTTTTTCAAGACTGGGTTTCTCTGAATAGCTGTGGCTGTCCTGGAACTCACTCTGTAGACCAGGCTGGCCTCAAACTCACAGAGGTCCACCTGACTTTGCCCCCCCAGTGCTGGGATTACAGTCACGGTGGTACATTCCCACATTCTTAACACTCTTGACAATAGAAGCAGGAGGATTAGAAGTTCAAGGTTATTCTTGGGTGAGTAGTGAATCTGAGGCTAGCTGGGGTTAAATGAATGCCTACGACAAAAAAATAAAATAAAAGGAAAGGAAACATACCAAAACCACAAGAGTTGAGCTTGTGTGTGTGTTTATACAACTCCTTTAGAGCTGAACAAGATAGAAACCTTAAAGGACATCATATCAATTTAAAATATAGCCATTTTATGTCAAGAAATTACTATTAAATGAAAGAGACATCCTGATGATAAATATACTAATCGAGGCTTGCAATCACCAAGCAATCCCAGATGCTGAGCCCTGTCACTAGCCCTGACTTGATTTTTATTTTAAGACAGCCACACTATGTAGACCTGGCTGGCCTGGAACTCAGTATATAGGTCTGACAGGCCTAGAACTCACAGAAATCCTCCTGCCTCTGCCTGCTTCGTGCTGGGATTAACATGTAACCACCACATCTGGTTGACTTGACCTTCTTAAAGTGAAATGATTCAGGTTTAGCAACACGGCTCAGTCAGTAAAATGCTGTTGTGTAAGCATGAGGGGCTGAATTTGGATTCCCAGAAACACACATTCAAAGAAGAAGAAGACGGAAAAAAGCTGGGCTTGGTAGCACTCATTTGTAAAACCAGTGCTGGGGCATGGGGCAATAGGGGAGTCTCCTGGACTCCCTGCCCAGCTAACCTAGCCTAACAGACCACCTCAAAAAATAAGGTGGACCGTCAGGCCCAATGGCACACTCCTTTAATCCCAGCACTCAGGAAGGCAGAGTTCTGAGCCAGCCTGGTCTACAAAGTGAGTCCAGAACACAGTCAAGGCACAGAGAAGTCCTGTCTTAAAAAATTAAATAAATACATAAAGTTAGGTGGAGCGCTCCTGAGGAAGAACTTGGCCTCTGACCTCTGACTGCCACACAAATGTGCACATGCACCTGACACACATGTACACCCAGATGAATACCCACCCGTGGTATTCATAAAAAACCGTAAAACTAAGAAGTGCAAGACTCAAGGACTTTGGTACATTCATCATGTCATAAAACCCTGCCATAATCCAGTTACATTTCATCTCCTGGAAAGGAGACCCTGGCAACCTTGGATCTGCGTCATCTTCACCGATCTGTGCGCTCAGAATCAGTCAGGTCAAGATTCAGCCCTGTGCGGCCCCTCTCTGGGTCTTGCTCTCACCAGCGTCCACAGCACCGGGAAGACGCGGGGCGCACGCACGATGAGCAGCCTGCCCAGGGTCTCGGGGTAGTTGTCCTCCACCACCTCGATCATCCGAAGCAGGGCTTTCACCCCCGGCCGCCACAGGTGCCTCATGTTGAGGCCCTCCAGGTCCAGCAAGCAGGTCCAGGAGCTGTGACGACACAGGACCTTGGGCCCCACCTGCCTCTGCCACCTCCCATGATCCCCGGCGCCCTCCCAGGCACCGGTGACAGAGCAAAGGGCTCAGAAGGCAGGGGTGGGAGCAGGACACTTTGACAGTCCCTGTAGTCTCTCAGCCCCGGAAAGGAAAGGTGTCACAGCGGGGCTGAGGAGGAAGGCTGGCCTGAGGAAGCAAAGGGAGGAGCCTATGGAGTTGGGGGCGGAACCAGTCAGGAACGATTTAAATTAGCTCGGCCAGAGTCCAAAAACCAGGAAAGGGTTCCTGCCTCACCAGAGCATTATAAGAATTAGGGGACCACACACAACACTCAGCCAGCCCCCTGGCCACGAGCATCGCGGTAAGCGTTTAGCTAGCCTTTGGGTGTTTTGCCCCCAACTCAGGTTCTTGCCTGATGGGACGGCCGAATTGTCTCGTGTTTCCTTCGCATCTCTTCTGTCCTTCCTCGTTGACAGAAAGCACCTAGAAGGCAGACATGGTACTGACAACAGCTGACTATGCTGCTCCGCACGCGGGCTAACATCGCGGGCCCACACTCCGCCCCTGACTCACGTGCTGCAGCAGAGCCTCCTCGCCTACTGCCTTCATCAGGCCTTTGGTGTCCATTTGGCCCAGGCGCAGGATGTAGAGGGGACGGCCATCTTTGCAGGTGGGCGGAGCCCAGGAAAGAGAAGACATCTTTTAGGTGGCTGTTGCATAGGAGCCTAACTCCTAGCCAGTGCATGCTGTAATCCCAAAAGTCGGGGACGCATAGGCAAGGGGGATCTCTGTGAGTTCGAAGCCAGCCTGGTCTACAAAGTGAGTCCAGGACAGCCAAGGCTACACAGAGAAACCCTGTCTCGAAAAAACAGAAAGAAAGAAAGAAAGAAAGAAAGAAAGAAAGAAAGAAAGAAAGAAAGAAAGAAAGAAAGAAAGAAAGAAAGAAAGAAAACCTAACAGTCCCCTCCCGGGAGCAGAGGTCATGCTGGAGGGTCACCAAGGGATGGGTGGGCTTACTGTGTCTGCTTCTGAGACACCTAAAGTGGAAATCAGTAGTTCACTTATTTTTTTTCTAGGACTGGGGAGATTGGCATCAGTAAAGTACTTGCTATGTGAGTGTGAAGACTTGAGTCCAATGCCCAGATCCCATGTTTTTGTTTTTGTCTTTATCCCATGTTTTTTTAAAGCCAGGCAGAGCCATGAATAGCGGTGTCCGTGAGCAGTGGCGCACATCTTTAGTCCCAGCAAGAGGCAGGGACACGCGGCCCACTGTGAGTTTGAGGCCAGGTTGGTGGCATGTAGTTGTAGCCAGCACTGGGCAGTCAGGGACGGGAAGCTCCCTCGGGCTTCTGGCCATCCAGCTAGTCTCCTCTAGTCAGTGAGCTCCAGGGTCAGTGAGACACCCACCTCAAACAAGAAGGCTGTCTTCCTGTTGCCGTACTCACAGGTGCACTCAACACATTGTTAATTTACAATGTTTTTTCGGAAGATTATATGAGCCATGTCATGAAGAAATTGAGAGGGTGGACATCGGCCCTTGCTTTCCTCCAACCAGAGCACCAGAGGGACATGAAGGGTTGTCAACAGGGCAGTTATCTTTAAGGACTGCTAACATGGTCAGCTCCGGGAAGGTCATGTCAAGTGGGGGCAGAAGCTGAGAATGATACAGCCACAAACTCAGGGGCTATCAAAAGCTGGAAGAGGCGGTGCAGGGCTCTGCTGTAGAGCTTCCTGAGTCCGTTTTATTTGTTGTTTGTTTGTTGATGAGTGACAGGATCTGTAGCCCAGGCTGGCTTTGAATTTATTATATAGCTGAGATTAACCTCGAACTTCTGATCCTCTTGCCTCCACCTCCTATGTGTTGGGACTTCAGATGTGTACCACCAAGCCTAGATCTGTGCAGTGCTGAGGATCGGACCTAAGGCTTTGTGCAAGCTAGGCACTCTACCAACTGAACTACATCCCAAGTCCTGCTGCCTCCTGAATCTCAAACTTCCAACATCCAGGGCTGGCATCTTGTGGCTTTAGTATCTAGTTTGCTATGGCTACCTTAATAAATTCATACTGTACGGGAGAGACTATGATATGTGATAGCCCCCGGGGGCAGAAACATCCCCCCAAAACAAACAAACAAAAACAAAAACCTATATCTATTCCACCTTCTTCATAGCTGGGTAACACACCATCGGTATCTCCAGATGCCCCAGAGAGCTAAAAGGGAATCTGAAATTCCCTGGGGTGCATTGTTTAAGAGTGCCCTTGGCATTCACACATGGCTCAGGTGTGAGGCGCACCTACGTCCTGGTAGTGCCAGCCTCCGGCATAGAACTCCTGTAGGGGAGCTGGGGGCCTCCAGGTCTGCAGAAGGAGATCCACTTGGTGCTGCTTCCGCCAGCTCAGGGACTGGCACAGCATGTCCCGGGCCTTATCCAGGTGGAAATCTCGTGCTCGCAGGAAGCGCAGGATGTGCTCATCTTTGGGGATCTGAGAGACAGAGAAGAAAGAAGACCACAGAATGATACATCCAGATAAATGAACACATTCAGATAAAGTGGTAGAAATGAGCCTCTTCCCTCATCTGCAAAACAGCTGGGGAAAGTAGCCCAGAGCAAAGAGAGGCCAAAGGGAGGGCTGTGGTGAACAGCTGTGTGCTGTGGCTGCCTAGCATCTCTCCCTGTTTGTCCTAGAAATAGCATCTTTCCTTGGGGTAACTCCTCCTCTCCTCCCTTCTCCCTCCTCCCCTTTCTCCTGCTCATTTCTCAATATACCATTGGTGCAAAACCAGTCCTAGAACAAGTTGTCTTTTTGGGGGTTCTTCCTTTGAGTCAGACTCTACCCTAAGCATCTGATGTAGATCAGTGTTTGTGATCCACACTAGATTAACAATGTCCACATTTTACATTTGCAGAAATGGAAGCAGACATGTTATAGCATATACCAGCAGTGAGCAATGCTCTTGTCTGGCCTCCAGGCTGGAGAGGCAAAGGTAAGCAATTCTTGCTATGAAGTTCTGATTCAGTAGATGATAGAGTCCTTCTTAGTATTGAGCTATGTGGTGCACATCCATGTTACCAGAGCTAGAGCTTAAAGGCAAAAATCTATAGACAATCAACAATCACACTTATTATGTCATATGTCTCTTAGGAAAGGACAGTACCCACGGTCAAATGAGCATGATTCTTAATTGCACATGACTGTACATACATACATACATACACACACACACTCACACACAAGGACATATGTACATGCTAAGGGCCATTTTGCATTGTCATATCTGGATGGGGCAAGGTACTGGCATATCCTGATTGGAGGCTAGACATGTTACCAAGCATAACAGAATAAACACCTACTCTAAAGAATTTCCTGGCCCCAAACATCCCTAGCAGAAGGGTGGTGGCCTCAGTACGTGTAAAGGACAGACAGGATGAAAGTGATATAAATGGGGCAAAATCTAAGTTTGTAGTATTACTGATAGCACAACTGGCTTCTCTTCCTTCCCCACTGGCCTAGGCTGAAGCCTGTCCTCACGGTGCCCACGCCACACCCACCTTGCCTTTGTGGGTCTCCTGTAACCAGTGCCGGAGCTGCACCAGGCAACTCTGCTGCATGGGAGTGAGATGGCCCAGGCACCTCTCGATGTAGTCTGCTTCCAGCTTGTCCCCTTGAACAAGAAAAATAGGGATTTCAGGGTGGAGGAAGAGCGAGGCCATCCTCTGTCTCCCTCTGTTTACCTTTGTTCTGTTTTGTTGTTGTTGTTGTTGTTGTTTGTTTTTGTTTTGCTTTGCTTTGTCTTGAGACATGGCCTCATGTAACCCAGGCTAGATTCAAATGCACTACATAGCAGAGGCTATCCTTGACCTCCCATCTTCCTGCCTATACCTCCTGAGTGCTAGGCTGCAGGCATATGCTACCATATCTGGAGTCTTAGTTAGGGTTACTATTGCTGTGATGAAACACCATGACCAAAAGCAAGCTGGGGAGGAAAGGGTTTCTTTGGCTTAAACTTCCATATCACTGTTCATCTTTGAAAAAAGTCAGGATGGGATCTCAAACAGGGCAGGAACCCAGAGGCAAAAGCTGATGCCAGAGGTCATGGAGGAGTGCTGTTTACTGGCTCAGCCCAGGGGTGGCAGCACCGCCAACAGGCTGGGCCTTCCCCATCAGCCACTGATTGAGAGAATGACCAACAGCCAGATCTTACGGAGGCATTTTCTCAATTGAGGTTCCCTCCTTTTGGATGAATCAAGCTTGTATTAAGTTGACATAAAAATAGCCAGCACATCTGGTGACACGGGTCTCTATCACGTGGCCTACACTCTGTGTGGCCTTCTCTTCTTGCCAACTGTCTGAGCTCTGGAATGTGGTCCCTAGCCAAGATGTGGAAACAGCCACAAGGGCTCCAAACTCATTTTTCTAAATGGTTTTGAAAACATATTCTGGGCAAAGCTGGGCACTACCAGTGGGGGGGGCTTCTCTCCAGGTCTCGGCTGTGGAGATGACCCTCCCCTCTGCTGAGGTTCTGAAGATTGCTAACTCTCCAGCCTTTGTTTTTTCTCTTTGTTTTTGTTTTTTTAGCATTATATTGTGAACATTTTCTTTATTAATAAACCGACTGTATCCAGGCGTGGTGGTGCACACTTGGAAGGTAGAGGCAGGAGGATTAAAAGTTAGAGATCAGTCTGGGTTACATGAAAAAAATCTCAGAATAAATTTATCTCAAAAATAAATAAATAAAGCCAGGCATGGTCCCAGGTCTGCACTCTAGCAGTACAGGCAGGCTGATCTCTGTTCATTTGAGGCCAGCCTGGTCTACATATCAAGTTTTAGGTCAGCCAGAGTTGTATGGTAAGACCCTGTCTCAAACAAAGCAAAACAAAGAAAAACCAATAAAATAAAATAATGCTGTACACTGTAGAACAGGAAAACCATGTTTTCATTCCTTAAGTGCAAAGATGAACCACATTGTTTGTAATTAAAATACACACATGTGCTCACATATGCACACACACATGACACACGTGCACACCTGAAACAGGCATGGTGGTGCACAGCTGTGATCCCAGTACTGGGGAGAAGGCAGGGGAACAGGAGCTCACAGTCATCCTCGGCTCCACAGCAAATTCAAGGCCAGCCTGGGCTACTTGAGACCCTGCTCTAAAACAAACGAACAAAAAGCCTAGAGGATTGGTAAGGTGGCTCATTAGATAAAGGTATTTGCCACCAAACCTGATTACCTGATTCGAGCCTCAAAACCCACACAGTGGAAGGAGTGAATTGACTCCCACAGACTGTGTGCCAAGGATCCAGGTTTGGAAGCATTTAGTAGTCCCAAAACTCAGGAGGACCTCAAATTCAAGGCTAGAGTGGGCTTGAGAGAAATAGAGATAGAAATAGGTCCTATTTCTTTCTTTTTAAAAAAAAAATCTTTTAAATTTATTTTTTATATTAATTACAGTTTATTCACTTTGTATCCCACCTGTAGCCCCCTCCCTCATTTCCTCCTAATCCCACCCTCCCTCTCCCAGCTCCTCCCATGCCCCTCTCCAAGTCCACAGATAGGGGAGGTCCTCCTCCCCTTCCATCTGACCCTAGCTTATCAGGTCTCATCAGGACTGGCTGCATTGTCCTCCTCTGTGGCCTGGCAAGGCTGCTCCCACCTCAAGGGGAGGTGATCAAAAAGCAGGCCAATCAGTTCATGTCCTATTTCAAACAGTGGACCCCCTGGCTTTGAGCTATGACATGCACACACACACACATACTATATGATTTCACATACTGTATGATTTGTATGAAGTCTTAAAGACAGATAAAATTGCCAGCATCATGGAGGCACATGCCTGTAATTCCAGCGTTTAGGAGGTAGGAAGTAGAAGATCAGAAGTTCAAGGTCATCCCCAGCCACATATCAAATTCAGGACCAGCCTCTGTCTCAAACAGTAATGCTAACAGTGAGCCAACATCGGTGAGACTCGAAGCAGTCACACTGTGCTATGAAGTGCAGGGATGTATGTGCTGCTCTTGCAATGTTAGCGGGAAATAGTAAAGTACAAACAGGCCGCGTGGCGTGCTTTCATCTCCTCCATATTTTCTAAGTGTGAGCATGCATTTGCACATGTGTGTAAGGATGTATGCCCCTCTTGTGCCCTATGCCCCTAGCCGGCTTCATAAAACACAAAGTTTTGAAGACTCTGGGGAGAAGGAAGGAATCTTCATTCTTTCCCTGTGTGTTGTGTGTGTGCATGTGTATAACATACGCATGTATGTATGTGTACACATACGTGGAGGCCGCCTTCAGGTGCGGTTCCTCAGGTGCCTCTACCTTGGTTTTGTTTGAGGCAGAATCTCTCACGAGCCTAGGGCTCCCCAGTTAGGATTAGGCTCAGCTGGCACCTCTCTGGTGCTAAGATCGCAAGTGAGGACCACCACACCTGCTGGGTTCCTGTGTGGGCTCTGGGAGACACAGTCATGCCTGCAGGGCAAGCACTTTATCGCCTGACCCTCCTCTCCAGCTCTTCGTACTTCTCTCTTCTCATCTCCCAATTCATTTATATCCTTTACTACCGTGATCTTGCATTACTCACGCAATTAAAAATATCCTCAAACCACCAGAGGTCAGCGCCTGGTCTAGAAATAGATCGTCTCTGAGAAGGAGAGGGCAGAGGCTGAATGGGTGCCAGACTGTCCCCAGCCCTGGCAACCTACAGTACCTCTCCCCACTCTCAGGAAGCCAGGCAGCGTGGCAAGCTTCCGGGATCCAGGGGTGAGGGCACAGCTTGGACCCTGGCTCTCTGCAGCCACCTACCATCCGCGGTGGCCATCTCAGGAACAGGGCCTGGGGCATCACTGGGGCCGTCTGTCTGCAGGGAGCTCGGGCACCGGGGCACAGCCTGGCTTCGGGCACCCTTCTCCGGCACTACAGCTGGTGTCCAGCGAGGAATGTGGGATGTTCCCTGGGAAATGAGCTCATTCAGGTAGTGCTCAATCACCTCCTTCCCCTGGAAGCAACAGGCCCAAAAGATGTCACCAGGCAACGCCAGCCCTAAGGAAGCACACACAAGCAGATCCCAGTCCTGAAATATGGGCTATCGCACAGCTTAACACACGGACAGGATGAGGGGAGAGGAGCAAAACTAAACCCAGAACAAATGCAAATAGCCCAGGTTTATGTTGGTAATGTATCAGGTAAAGTATATCACCAAAAGCAGTCTACTCATTTGGTGAACAGGCCTCACTCTAACCTGGAATCTAAGGCCATTGAACCAAGTGGTGGCTTTGTGGTACTGGGAGGGGGACCAAGATCTCCCACATGCTAGGCAGGTGCTCTACCACCCATTTACACCTCCGGCCCCTCACTGGGGGTATTCTAGGTGGTCACTCCACCACTGAATCACACCCTCAACCCCTCACCGGTGACTTCTAGGTAGGTGTTCTATCACTAAGTCATGGCCTTAGACTCAGTAACACTTTTTTTTTCTGAACTGGTACTGAGGATTGAAGCCAGGGCCTCACATATGGTAGGCAAGTGTTCCACTCCTGAGCTCTGCCTCTAGCTGTTTGTCTCACTGAGTCACTAGGCTGGCCTTGAACTTGCTCTGTAGCCCAGACTTGAACTTGCTACAGCATCTTGAAGTGCTGGGACAATGTTAGGATGCCCCCACTACAGGCCAGTTCTTCCCACTGATGACCTCACTGATGTGGTCATGACCCCAGTGTTCACCATAGAAACAAGAAGACTGAGGCCCCGAAAAGTCAGGGCTGGTGCCCAGTGTCACAGGGTTGGTGGTGGCAGGGTAGGCCTGTGAATTCCTGCTGTGGTTAGCACAGTTCCCTCACCCTCTTGACATTGGCAGTATATTGCTTCATGGCGATCTTCTCCAAGGTGCTTTCAAAGCCAAAGAACGAGCGGACATCCAGGGAGGCCAACTGTTCAAAGCAAGTCCAGTCTTCATTCTCAGGATGGACCTGCAAGATGGGAAGGGACCATGGCAGGGCCCCAGTGTGGAGGATGCTGTGCCCTCCCCAGGGCTCTTCTGGCCACCAGAGCCTGTCATGGACAGCATTCCACGCCCAGACAGTGATGCAAAGTCAAAGAGTGGGGAGCAAAGAGACCTTCCTCAAACTGGGTGTGGTGGTATACACCTACAATCCCAGCACTGGGAGGCTGAGGCAGGAGAATCAAAAGTTCCAGGCCAGCCTAGTCTACATAGTGAGTTCCATGACAGCCAGGGCTATGGAGAGAGACCATGTCTCAAAAAAAAAAAAAAAAAAAAAAAAAAGATCAGAGAGAAAGAATTATATGCATAATGCTCAGATTATTTATAAAGCACAAAATATGTGTTTAGATATATCTCACTAGTTATTACGTTACATATACAAAGACATTAAATGCCCTTATGTGCCCATAAATATATTTCTATGTCAACAATAAAAAGAAAGCTTAGCTGGGTATGGTGGCACATACCTGTAATTCCAGCACTCAGGAGGCTGAGGCAAGAGGATGGAAAGTTTTCAGGCCAGCCTGGGCTACATAGTAACACTTGGTCTAAAAAAAAAAAAGGGACTAAAAACCCACTCATGAAGGGTCAGGAGGACGTGGGGAGGGGAGACTAGAGGGACACACATCATGCTTCGGGGAGGCCAGGCGGGCTCACTGTGTAGCTGCAGTTCTCCTTCACCGTCACCCGGCTTGCAAAGGTCTCGTTGTGCGCATCTATCAGCAGCGTCCTCTCTCTCCAGTTCAGGACATTTCTCTGAACGAAGACCACATGCTCCACACCAGCAATCTGCGAAGGAGGAGCCCAGGAGAGAGGAACTAGCCAGCCGGTCACTCAGACCGACCCTGGTTCCTGCTCCTGCCCAGTCTGAGTCATCCCTTAACAGGGACTTGAAGTTCCATCTCCCGCCACTCCCTAGCCTGGCCTGTGTCATCCCCAATCTAGGACCCCTGCTCGCTCCGCCACCCAGCCCAACAAGAGACACCCAGCCTGGAGAGGGCAATACCTGCTCCCACCACTATCCAGACTGGCTCAGGTCACACACAGCACACAATGCGCTCCCTTGGGCAGACCCTCAGCCTTGCCCAAATAGCCCCCATTCTGAGGACCCTCCGTGCTTCATACTGCCACCGTCATGGAGACGAGAGTTCTCCCACCCACACACACACCCGCTGGAAGCCACGGCGTGGGGAGGGTCTTTTGTCCTGCCACCAGAGGTTCCGCACTGGCCCTCTCCCCAGTACTACCACTCAGCCACTCTGTCACCCAGCCGTGGCCCAGGCCCGGACACCAGCACACCACTCTCCATTCCCAGTTTTGTGCCTAGCTCTGGTTCCCAAACCCTGAGCCTAGGCGCTCTGGATGCTAACCCTACCGGATCTCAAGGCTCCGGACTCGTTCACAGCCCGCACACCGGGACCCCAGCTCCGTGCCCACCTTCCGCAGCAGCCGAGGGGCGTCCACGCGCAGCCGGCAGCTCCGCTCCACCGTGTGCACTGCCCCATCCGCACTTCGCCACTCGCCCAGGACTTCACTGCCCAGGAAGACTGGGATGAGCGGGCAGGTGGGGAAACGCTTCTCGTAGGCCTGGGGACCGAGAGACAGTGAGCGCCAGATTCCCGAGAGGGACTGTCCCTAGACAGAAGCACCCAGCCACAATGACCAGCAACACAAGACTCCCTCGGGACTTTTTGTTTTTTAGTTTATTTATTTTGGTAGTATTGGGCATTGAACCAAACCAGGCAAGCACACAACACCAAGCTACATCCTCAGGCCACTTTACTCTTTATTTTGAGACAGGTTCTAAACTGACCATCTTGGCCTTGAACTCTGCAGTCCAAAGCAGCCTTGCAGCCTCCTCAGTGGCAGGGATGACAAGCCTGGGCCACTAGGACCAGTTCTTAACCTCAATACTAAAAGAAAAAAAAAATGTTTTTTTCTCAGAAAAGTGCCTGAGCCTTTCCAACCTGGGCCAGGCAGAACGGGTCCCACAAAGAAGGGTTTCTAGAAAAATAAGGGCTGCTCTGTCACCCACAAGGCATTACCGGAAATGCACCACTGACATGAGCATCCGTGGAGCGGTTTCGAGTAGCATGACCCCCGGGTAAGCAGAGAAATCTGGAAACTTGCATTAAGGACGTGGGGCTCCAGACGTGCACACCTCATATCTCACACATGTATGTTTGTTCAGAAAACGTACTAAGAGCAAGGGCTCGCAGAACAAGCTCTGTAACTTGGTTACCTACATCCGGTTACCACGAACAAAGCCAGCAGTCAACACATAAGAACTAGCTGCTGCCGGGCATGGTGGTGCACGACTTTAATCCCAGACTCGGGAGACCGAGGACCTCTGTGGTTTCCGGGCCAGCCTGGTCTACAAATAGAGTCCAGGACAGCCAAGGCTATACAGAGAAATCCTGTCTCGAGAAAAAACCAAACCAAACCAAAACATCAATAACAAAAAAAAAAAAAAAAAAAAAAGACAGAGACAGACAAAAACAAAGACACACACACAAAGAGAACCTGATAAAATACAACACCCCTTGCTGATTAAAGAAAATACCAATAAACCGGCAGCCACATAGGAAAAAACCCATAGTTAACTTCATACTCCAGGGTAAAAGACTGAATACTTTTGCCCCTCAGGACAGAAATAAGACGCTGGTGTGAGCATTCCTCACTTCTATTTAAGACTACAGTTCGGATTCAGGCTAGGCATTCAGTTTGAACGGAAGTAAAACTATTTCTATTTATAGACTACATGATCTTCTATAAAGAATCCCTGAAATCTCTCTCTCCCTCCCTCTCATACATACACCACACATACCACACACACACACACGCACACAAACAGCACAAATAATTAAGTTCAATAAGGTTACAAGATACAAGATCCATGTATTAATACAAATTCAGACTGGAGACTTAGGTCACTAATTGAAGGAGGGCATGTGGGTGTCCCTGAGCCCTGCAAAAACAAAACAAAAACCACAGGAATAAATCTTATGACCTTGAGCTAGGTAAGGCTTCCCTACTTGTGATACCAAAAGGAAACATTACCTGGACACTATCTGAGGCTTTGTAGCTTTAATAGACACCATCAAGGAAGTGAAAATGGGCTGAAGAGATGGCTCAGCAGTTAAGAGCACTTGTTGCTCTTTTCGAGGATCCTGGTTTGGGTCCCAGCAACCACACGGTGGGTCACAACCATCTGTAACTCCAGTTCCAGAGGATCTGCTGCCCTGTTTGACCTATTGGGCTGAGTTGCATATACATACATGCAGGCAAAATAATCATACACATAAAATAAAATAAATAAACTTTAAAAAATTAAGAAAGCAAAAATGGGAGCCCAATGGTGATGGCACATGCTTTAGACTTAGCACTCAGGAGGCAGAGGCAGGCGAATCTCTGTGAGTTGGCCTCTGTAAGGTCAACCTGGTCTACAGAGTGAATTCCAGGACAGCCAGGACTATACAGAAAAACCCTGTCTTGAAAAACAAAAGAGCAACAAAAATAAAAAAGGAAGGAAGGAAGGAAGGAAGGAAGGAAGGAAGGAAGGAAGGAAGGAAGGAAGGAAGGAAGGAAGGGAGAGAGAGAGAGAAATGGAAGACTTTGGAGAAATAAATGGCTCAGAGGTTCAGAGCACTCGCCGCTTTCACAGAGGACCTGACTCTTAAACCAGATTCCCAGCCCCCACAGCAGGTGGATGGCTCACAACCCCCTTTAATGCTATCTCTTATTAAAAAAGAAAGAGAAGCATGGCCCAGTAGGTAAAGGCACTTCCCAGCAGCCCTCATGACCTGAGGGCTGTTCTACATGGAGGAGAGAGTCAGCTCCCACATACACAGCACATACATGCACACAGTTCACACACCTGCAATCCCAGTGCTCAGTAGGCAGAGCCAGGAGAATGAACAAAAGTTCGAGGCCTGCCTGGCTTGTTTGCTTGTTTTTAATTTACACATTTATTTATTTGTTTGTCTGGGGAGAGGATCATGTACCACACTGTGGGAGTCAGAGGGCAACTTGCAGGAAGTGGGGTCTTTCCACCACGTAGGTCCCCATGGTCAAACAGGCGACCACACTTGACAGCAGGCCCTTTACCTGCTAAACAGTCTTTTTCGTTGTTGTTGTTTTTGGTTTTTGAGACAGGGTTTCTCTGTGTAGCCCTGGCTGTCCTGGACTCACTTTGTAGACCAGACTGGCCTCGAAGTCACAGACACCCGCCCACCTCTGCCTCCCAGAGTGCTGGGACTACAGGGGTGTGCCGCCATGCCTGGCTTCCACTGAACAGTCTTGCCAGCTTCTTTTCACTTTCTTTTTTATTCCTCCTACCTCCCCATAACATTTTTATTGATTCTCTGGGAGTTTCACATCAGGCACCCCAGAACCTGCCTGTTCTACATCATGAGTTCCAGGCTACAAATGACATTTTGTCTCAGAAAAAAAAAGAAAAACAAAAACCTTAAGTGCACCCAGGGAATCCCAGCACTTAGGAAGTGGAGGCAGGAGGATCACCTTCCTAGCAAGTTCAAGCCCAGCCTGAGATACATGAGACCCAGTCACAAAAATCAGTCAATTAAGTAATTAATTAATAGCAGACAACTAAATATCTGGTGCAAAAAGTACATAAATATAGACATGTAAATTAAATTATAAATACCGCTAGCAAGTATTTACAGTATATTAAGACTTTACATCTGTGTGTGTGTCTATTACTTTGTAAGTGTGTATGCATACATATAAGTAGTTTAAACATGGTACTCATTTTACTTATGAATATATTTACCACACTATGTACATATGGATGGTTTGGGGAGATGGAACCCATTATCTCATGCTCTCTAAGCATGCATCCTACCAGTGGCCTATGTTCTCAGCCTTACTATTAGGGATTTTGCAGGTGTGTGTGTGTGTGTGTGTGTGTGTGTGTGTGTGTGTGTGCGCGCGCGCGCGCGCGCGCTTGTGAGTCCTTCCTAGCTGGGTGCTAATTCTACTGTGTATGAGCTGTATGACTTCAGGCAGGGCCCTTAGCCTCTCTCAGCTGAGTGAAGCAGTGCTAACCAGGGCAGTTGGAATCCCTTCATCGTGATTTATCAATGTCATCAGCCTCCACAGCAATGAGCCCCACAGAAGGAGTGTCTTTTAGGCTGCTATTTCAGGTCCTAGACTTGGGGTGCTTCTCTCTGAGGACAGAGGTCCTCCCAGGGCGGGTAAAGGTAACTGAGGTGGACCCCCAGCTAATGATCACGTGTTTAGAGATGGCAACTCTGTGCCCAATTCTAGATGCTCCCAATCAGAGTCAGCCCTTAGCCTGGCACAACCTGCATGTCCCAGACCTGGGACCAAACAAACTCCAAAAATAGTGGTAACATCTGAGGACAGTAGCCTCCTCTCCTTCCCTTCGGGGAGGAGACATCACCTGCTGGAGAAGAAGGAGCCTCAGGAAGCACAGAAAGTTGTTAGAAGCCAACAAGGCCATTCCTCTCCAGGAGTGGGGAGGGCAGACATGGTCCTGCCAGGCTACCAGGCAAACACGGCATCCATAATTAATACACGTGAGGTCCTATCACCCTGGGTAACGCACCCTGGGACTCCTGGCTTCCCAGACAGCGCTATATTCTCCTGGCCTGATTGAAGACATCCTAAAGAGACACTCGAGGGGAAAGGCCATGAGACCCCAACCCTACACAAATAACTACAGGCAATTAAGGGATGCTGAGAGCAAGAGAAATAGTCTCCCCAGGAAAGAGCTCATAGATCTGTTATCCAATACCAAATGCTCAGCCCTGAAAGCATACATACAATTAACATTATACAGACTGACCAGGTTGTATTTATATAGTCAGGAATAATATGCATATATACATGTATAAACAATTAGTGAAAACAGAAGTCATACATCTGAAAGGGAACTAGAAAGGGTGTATGAGAGGGTTTGGAGGAGGAAATCAAAGGGGGGGAGAAGATGTAATTATATTATAATCTCAAAAAGAAAAGTAATAATTTTTTAAGAAATCATTTTTTAAAAAAAAAAAGAAAGATACTTGCACCCCTTTGACTATGGAAACAATGGTCTTCAAGAAATTAGAATTTTCCCAAGAGCTTCATGCTAGAAAAAGGGAGAGGCTAAAGCCTGGTGCCAGTAAAAGGGGAACTTGTCTAGTTTGCACTAGAAACTGGAGCACAGACAGTGATGGGTCAGGCATGTGTGGACCCACACCTCGGTCAGGACTGCTCAGCTAGGCAGACCTCCTACTTCCCATTTAAACCCAAACCTCATAGCAAGACACCAAAGACAGACTTGGGGGGGGGTCCACTGGACCTCTTTAATTGTTCTTTCAGATGAGGCCGAGGTGAATACATCTCCTTTCTCCGCCTTTCACTATTATGTTTCTATCCAACAGGCTCGTTGAGGATGGGTGGCTGAGCCTCACTTGTTGGGCCCTGCTCTAAGTGACAGGGAGGGCTGCTGAAGGAGACCTCGAGAACTGTGTGTGTGTATCATCCTACCCCCAGGACGGGCATTTGCCCTCTAAGCAGGGCTGCAGAGCAGATGGTATAAGAGCCTACAGGGGTCCTGG